GCTTTGCTGATGGCAGACCCGGTCATGCTGTGTTGAGCGGCGGCGATCCGGTCCGTCAAAGACTGTCCCGACATGGTACTGAGGAAGAGGAAGAGGAGGAGGAGGAGGAAGAGGAGGAGGAGGAGGAGGAGGAGGTGGTGGTGGTGGTGGTGATGATGGTCGAGGAGTCCGGGTGGGGGGAACCGGGGAGGACGATCAAAATGTCTTTAGAGGCAGGGAGGAGGGTAGTGCCCTCTGCGAGAATCGGCCGTCTGAGGAGGAAGAGGAGGAGGAGGAGGACAGCAGCTTTCACCGACGAGGATCCGGTGGGAGAATTCATGCGGCGGCCAAATAAAACATAAAACGGTCACATCCAGGGATCATATTCAGTCGAAGGTATCAGAAGCTGCAGAAATAAGAAATCTATCTTATAATTATAAAGAGCAGCCTGCAGTAAAAGTACTATAATATAAGACAATGTATCTCTGAGATGATGCCTTTACGAGAGCTGAATGCGAAATAACGATAATCGAAACCACTACCGGTGATGATTATCAGATCTATGCGGCATTCCCTGTGACTGAAGCAATTTTTTCACAGACGGTATAAACACAGCATTGTCCTTTCCCCCTTTTCTCTGCTCTTCTTTCGCCCGGTTTCTCCTCTAAATCTCCGCACACACCGACCGCAAACACCTCTCTGATCCACACAGCTCCCCGCACTGGCTGCATCTAACCTTAACCGCTTTGATTTTTTTTTTCTCCCCCAGTCTTTTTAATCTCCTTACAAAGGGTGTATTTCTGTGTGTTGAGGTTGCGATAGGCCAATTTCCCCCCCCGTCAGTCAAACTTGTGTGTAAAATGGCAGTACATGTATCAGGTGGACTGGGAAAGGAGGGCGATTGGGCCACTTCTGGGGCCGGGGAGGGCACCTTAAAGCTGAAGGCTGCCCCCCGGTTTTTTCAAGGCAAAGAAAAAGTATCAGCTGGTCCATCACCTCGGTGCATGTGGAGTGTGATGTGCAAACTCTCCATGATTACCTGCCATCCAATGAAATGTAGACACATATGGAGGAAAATCCTGATAACATCTACACAAGGTGTTTCATTCCTGTGATGCTACATGACTCCTATAAGACTGAACATGTGTGGGGTGACCCTGATCTTCATGTTGTAGGAATTAGTATGGCATTACAGTAGCAATTCTATGTGTTTGATGTGATATCAGTGGCACAAGAGTTTACAGTGCGTAGTTTATGGTGTCATGTTATAATGGTATACCTTAGTAAAATCCTAGCAAACATTCCCATTCGGTAACATTTTTTGTAGCCTTAAAATCATTTCCCGGGATTCTTTCCAGTTTGATTTACTTAGTTCCAACAGTATGACATTTAATGGTTAAGTAAATACCATCCTGATGGTTCCTGCTTTAATTGAAAGACAACCATCTGATGAAATGTCTAGAGAACAACATGTTTTATTACAGGGAATATGGATCAGTATTCAGATTAAAGAGAAAGTTCAATATGTGGAAAGAAAAATGAACACATCAAAACTGAAATTGAGGGACATTTGTAATGGCAGTAACTGCTCTATAGCAATTTTAGGATTTGTTGTCTGGGCATAATATAGTACGGGATGCCCTTTTGAACTGCAACTTGCAAGTGTTTTTTATAGTCCAATAATCTGCTGATTGTTAACGTATAGTATTGTTTGATCTAGATCATTTCACAAATACTGAAAAATCCCATTACAATTTGTGTGTTTTATATAGTCCAAGAATGCACCTCATGTATAGCATGTGTTCGGGTCACAGGGGTGGCTCTTTATTTCTCTAAAAGATAATTACCCAGATAAAACCCTTTGTGTGACACGGACACTTACTGCTGTGCTGACTTTATTTTCTGAATCCTCTTAGACTCTTCTAGCCTGTTAATTATCTTTGACTCAGGACTTCAGTGTACGCTATAAAAGAGAGGCACACACTGGGGATTTTCAAATCCCAAAGATGTTCAGTTTACAATTTTATAAAACTGAGAAAAAGCAGCAAATCCTCACAAGTGAGAAGCTATGCTAGAAAAAGCGATTAGTGAATTATAAAAATAGCCGTTGATGAATCAATTAATTGTTTCAGCCCTATTTGCTCTCTGTGAATTAAGTCAATTTCAAGGCTGATTTCAAAAGGTTGTGGGGAAATGTGTTGCCTTGAGCTGAGAGGACATGACACATGCAACGATCTTAAATGAACAACACTACTGACAACATACTGGACAGTATACGGCAACACAAATACAGTTGTTATTGCATGTAGTCTTGTCCATAGAGAATATGAATGTGTTGCATTACAAGGACAGGCTATTATACATCAAAGGGAGTGAAGTAAAATATAAAGCTGATGCCTAATTCGAAACATGGAATTTCAAATAACCACTTGAGGCAGATTCAACAAAGGCTGCTTTTCAGTCGTCTCTGTGCTGAAAAGAGAAGCCCATGCCATGTTTTTGACTGGCAGGAAATCAATTTGAGGGTTGAAGAAAAGCCTCATACCAACAAAGGAGCAAATGTGAGTTTGTTTGCTATAAGTTATTTATACCTAGTGAAATGTCCAATTTTTGAGGACATGAAAAATCCTTATGGATTGAAAAGACAAATATATTCATGATAAAACGGAAATGGATGCCTAACTAGAGGAGGAAGCTACTGTACATCATGAAAAGACGGAGTATACTGGAAGACCCACAGACGCTGTAAAGTGGGTCACACTTTACCACCACTGTTCTTAATAAAGAATTGCAATCCACTAAACGCCTTTAGGTTTTATCAACCACTTCAGCAGTACATTAAATGGAAATATCTGCTAAACTGACTCTCCTCCATTACTTCCACAACAGTAATGTTTATTTCTCACTGCTCACGATTCTTGTGTGTTTTTTCGGTAGCATGAGAGAACAGATTTTCCAGCCCATCAGTTCGTGATCCAGTGTGAAAGAGAATGTCTCTACGTAGCGGGCCAATTATAAACACACGCATTGCATTCTCTGTAATAATGTTGCATAATAGGGATTAATTTTACATGAGATTAGCAAACAAATAAGGCTGTGATCTTCAGCAGATGGAAAGTATAGCATCTGTAATGACAGATAGTATTTAACTGTCCAATAAGCATTACTCCAACCAACGTCAGGTATTTAGACAGTATACATTTGCTAATTTCCTCGTCAGTTTAAACCCAGGGGAATCAGTTAAAACTAGTTTACAAAAACACTGTATGAAAGGCCATTTTTCTGCATGTTCTCTCCTGCAGTGTGCCCATTCTGAGCCGATCCCTAAATACTGCAGTGAGGAAATATAACAGATGAAGGAAGGACAGCTTCTGATGTCCAAAGAACATTTATTTTCAAATGTAAGTCCATTGTAAATGTGATAGTTTGATGTGTTTGTATTGCATTAATAATTGGTATCTCTATATTCAAACGCTAATCTGAGTCTTTCAGGTCACCTATTATGCAAAATCCACTTTTTCATGTCTTTTATACATCAACATGTGTCCCCTCTGTGTAAAGAGATTCTGAAAGTTTCAGGAAAAAAGATTCGCTCACTTTTTGTCCTGATCCATTTATATAAAAACATGTCTGAAAATGAGCTGATCAGATTTTGGACACTTTATGATGTTATAACGATTTTTTGGCTTGTGTAACCATTAGCCAATAACCAACCAAGGTAACACCCCCCCCACCTTATCACCTGAATCTCCTCCTAGAGCACCATTGTGTTCATTTTAACCAAATATCTCTCAGAGGGGCGTTGGGAGTGGCTCCTTATTTCCATCTAAAGTAAAATACAGAATCAGCACTTTTGAAACAGGGCTGAAACAGAGGGGTTTGTGGGATGCTGCAATGAGTGATCTGTTTGGTATTTCGAGTCAAACACTTCAGAGACACGTTTTTTATATATCTGAGACCTATAATATATTGATGAAAAACAGTATAATAGGGGACCTTTAAGTCTTATTTTTTTTATTATTATGTTTTGTTAAATATGTTCAAAGAAAGCACAAGAACCACAGTTACAAAAATGTACATATTGATATATATGTTACATATATTTGGGTTAAATCATAGAATGTAACAGAAAAGTTGTGCTTCTCATGTGCATATGTGACTAACTTAAAGGTCCCATGTCATGCTTTTCCGGTTAGTACCCGTCCCCTTGTGTGTTATGAAGGTTTTTATGCATGTAAACGGTCTGCAGAGAAAAACCCTCAAAGTACACCATGTAGATAGTAAAACTCTAACACAGAAAATACCTTCCCAAAACGCCTCGTTGGAGATTTCTCATGTTCTTCCTGGACATTGTGACGTCTGAATACCCAGTAGCCACGCCCAGAGCTATGACCAGGCTGATTGGTCCAAATTGACCAATACACGGACTTCCTCACACACACAGTGCAGGCAGCTCTGCTGATTTCTCCTCCCTGGCTGCAGGCTGATAACAGACAGTTGGGATCGCGGTGAAATTCTCTCTTCAGACCCATTCTCACAGCGTTTATCAACCTTTTTCTTACTCAATATCAAGCCACACTTATTGTTTTTACTTCGGCTGTGACTTTGTGTGTGCTCAGGATGAGTTTGGCTGTGTTTCGCTGTGTATCGCTAAACAAGGAAACCACACCTCCACGCAGCTCAGCGCGATTCACAACGTCCCGACCAATCAGAGCACACTGTGCTCACAGGGAGGGTGGGGGCTGGAGCTATTGGAGCTACAACGAGCCGTTAAAGGCAGAGAGTGAAATTCAGTGAATACACGTAGTTTTACAGAGATGCTGTTGAGAAATCAATGTGAGTTTGGAAAATTGCACAATATATATAAATCTATTCTAGTAGACCTCAACAATGGAATTATGATCGGTGGAAATGGCCATGACATGTCTCCTTTAAATAAAAATAATACTAATAATTTGAATACCTCTAAGACAAAAACAATACTGTACAATTTATCTGGTTAAAAAGTATGAAATAAAATGTAAGTCGTAAATTCACATTTAATGCCTATCTTCCTAAAACTTTTAATAAGTCAAGACATTCTTTCATATTGAATTAAGAGGATCTGAAGGAATGAAACATTTTGAATGTGAACCTAAACCAAATCCTTTATGCTTCAGATCTCCTGATGGCCATGGTACAAACCTCTGCCTATTTTTCTGTATTAATCACTAAAACAGTCCCTGAGCCAAACTGACTTCCTGGTGGCGTGTGATTGGTCAGGAGTCACGGCTTCATACATGATGCACAGTTGAGAGGATCCTTGGTGGTGTTGGTGAATCCAGACAGGATGAGGGAGGCGGGCTCTCGCTCCACCACCGGGCTCTCCTCGTTGTTCAGGATGTTCTCCACCAGGCAGCGTGCCGCCTCCTCGATGTTAGCGTTTTCCTGAGGGAACGTAAAAGAAAACAACTATAAAGCAATCAGTTGTGGTGGCCTTGCTAAGGATGGCACTGTGCTGGTAGGTCCACCAGTAAAATATGTCAACAACATTTGGATTGGTTGCTGTGGAGTTTTGTACTGACATTCATGGTTCCCACAAAATAAACCCTACTGACTATTCATCTAGTGCCATCATCAGGCCAAAATGTCAATTTTCATGACTTTTTTGTGATCAAATACCTGCAAAAATAATGATAAATCCATGAGCTATACCATCAGCTATAGTTAGAGTAAAGCACTGATCAAAAAGCACTGCAGTGTCTTAACGTCTCACAGAGCTGAAAGCATGGGTGTAAACCAGGCCTTTTCAAGCCCCACCTGTTCCTCATTGCTCCAATAAAATGGTAGGCCAAGCTTAAAATTGTCAAATGTATCGTTCTATAACAGGGGTCTCCAACCTTTTTTCTCCAACCTTTTTTAGGATGAGAGCTACTTTAAAAAAAATAAGACAAGTCGTGAGCTACTTTTACTCCTCTTTTTTTTATGTTGAAGTTAAAGGTGGGGTAGGTAAGTTTGAGAAACCGGCTCGAGATACACTTGTTGTTATATTCCATGGAATGCTCTTAACATCCCGATAGCAATGAATATCTTAAGTGCTTTGAAAAAAAATCCATACAAAAATGTCATCTGTGGAAGCCGTAGCTCTGTAAAAAGCACGACCAATCATCTGAGCCGGCCCGGCTAAAATAACTGGATGGCCTACCTGCCTGTCAGCCTTCCATCTGTGCATAAACTTATCTCGTGCCCTCATTGGTCATGTGCGCGTTCGTGTGTGTTGGAGGAGGGGCTCTGTAAGGAAGTGGCAGATTTTCACCGGCTGTGTATTTTCAAATTCTAGCGCACTCAAGCTGGTTTCTCCAAAATTACCTACCTTTAAATGAGCACAAAAATGAATTTATGGATACAGCTCTCAACACTCATATGAAAGGGAGCAGTACACTTTTCAATAATCCAAACATCTTTAGAATATGATCACAACCAATAACAAATCACAACCAATAACAAATCATTTAAACTTGTTTATTCTTATCTTATGTTACATTCTTTCTTTTTATTTATGCATATTTTACTAATCACTCCCCTTTTAAACTTTTGTTTTTGTTTACTGTCCTATAGTACACATTGGAATGATTTCTTACTTTTTTTTTTACAACTAGGCTATATTAAATAGATAAAGGTGTGCTCTCTCTAGCTCTCTCTCTCTCTCTCTCTCTCTCTCTCTCTCTCTCTGTCTCTCTGTTTCTGTCTCTCTCGCTCACAGAGGCTGTGTGCTCCTCCGTGGCGATGACGGCTTGCGTTAAAAAATAATAATAAACATAGGCCTAATTGTAAAGTGGGGGGACACAAACAGGATTTCCTTATGAAGTGGTGAGGTGCCACTCCACATTGCTTTTCTTCCCGACTGTGTGTGTGTGTGTGTGTGTGTGTGTGTGTGTGTGTGTGTGTGTGTGTGTGTGTGTGTGTGTGTGTGTGTGTGTGTGTGTGTGTGTGTGTGTGTGTGTGTGTTGTGTGTGTGGTGTGTGTGTTGTGTGTGTGTGTGTGTGTGTGTGTGTGTGTGCGTGTGTGTGTGAGTGAGAGAGAGAGAGAGCGTGAGAGCATTTGTCATGTGTGTATGAGAGATTTTTTACATATGTCTGTAAATTATTTTGGTTTCAGTTGTGTGTGTGAGCAGGCTCGGATTGGCCATCGGGAGATTCGGGACTTTTCTCGGTGGGCCACTGCCTTTGGTGGGCTGCTGCCTTCGGTGGGACGCTGGCTGTGGCATAGGTGGGCCGTGGACTCTCACAGCGCCGCTGCGCCGGTACCGCATCCGCTGCCGCAAACACCCGCCGTTGCGGCGCTGTGAAAGTCCACCGCCGTTGCGAGTCTCCGGCTGTAACAGTCCACTACCGCCCGCGAGGACCCAGGTTCGATTTTGGCCTCAGGTCCAAAACATTTTTTTAAAAAAAATAATAATAATAATAATAATAATAATCTCCTGTTGATCGCGTCCATTCGCGACCTATCACATCTCTGTGCCCCACCAGTGGCGCGCGCCCCATACTTTGAGAAACGCTGGTGTAAACTAACATTGGAAAATATTGGAAAGGACTATCTTGACATTTCAAATTGCAAACAAATAAAAGGAGATTGACATTTTAAATCCAGTTTTGAGAAAAGTCAAAGTCACTGTGGAGAACTCAACGTCTAAGGCAGTGGTTCCCAACCTTTTTTCCCAAGAGCCCCCCCAAATGACTCCTGTTAGAAATTGCGGCCCCCCCCCCCCCCCCACACACACACACACACACACACACACACACAAGGGGGGGGGTGGGGTGCGCAACAGCGGTAATTAAAGTTTAAAAGTCTCAAAAATACAACTACTGTCACAAACTGGATGAATGTGAAGTATTATGTTAAAGGAGGATGAAAGCGTAATTAAGGAGCACTATTGGAGTGACTTTGATGGTTATTGGACTCAGGATTAATTTATTTGGATTCCCGCTGTATGAAGAAATTAAAGGACGGCGCAAGTGGAAACAATTCACAAAGGGATTAAACTGTTTAAAACACATGCTCAAAGTAAGCCGGATTTTGCCGATGTGTTTATGTGGATTCAAAAGTCGTAAATAATCTACAAAATGGAGGAGACCGATCTGATCGGAGCAACTGTGACAAATAATCCAACTGAAACCGGCATGGACAATGACTATGTTTTAAAAATGCGCTTATCCAGACAAGCCTGGTTTGGACACTTTACGGGCAGAAGAAACATTTCTATTAAAGAAAGAATTATACATTTCTGTCTTTATGCCTTTAATACTAACTTGAATTTTTATTAAAATTAATTAGTAAATTATTTTTTATATTTTATTGTAATGTAGAGACGAGGCTTTTAGTGACAATCATGTATTGCCTTACAATTATATGTAAAAAAGTCTAAATATGATATTTGGCCTCAAATCATCTGAGGCCTGGCGCCCCCCCCTGCGATCTTTGGCTCCTCCCCAAGGGGGGCGCGCCCCCCAGGTTGGGAACCACTGGTCTAAGGGAAAACTTTTTGGGACTCACTTTTCAAGTACTATAAAATCAGTAGGTCGGTGATTTCAACATGACCTAGAGAACCATTCAACGCTAAGAACATAACACTGTTTGAAACACTTATGTGTCATGTTACATCATACTGTATACTTAGTTTGTACTGTTTGACCAAGGCCTTCACTTTACCTTTGCTGACTCACACCAATGTTTATGTCATGCTAAAAAATGTAAGGGTGTGTTTTCAACCAATAATAGTCTGACTTTTGTCTACTGACCAGCTCCCTTTTCATCCTGACCTCGCCTTCGTGTTCACTAACTACACTCCTGTCTCTGACTCGCACCCTGGTGTGTAACTCATTAGATGGGCTCTGAACGGGAGGAAAATACAGAAGGTTACTTCACACCAGACTGCAGACATTCCTCTGTTTCTCTCTTGAGAGCAAGGTAAATAAGGTTTGCTCACTTTTAGTGTGAACACCCTTCAGTATTTACCAGAATCATGTGTCTGTATTTTGGGCTTTTGTTTTAAAGCATTGGCTACGGTTTAATATGTAGTTAACCTGACTGTGTAAATAATGTTTAGGGAAGATGAATGTGATTAAGTCTTTGACTCAAGTTAAACCCCTGACAACTCTTTCCATTTGGGGTTTATACAAAAAAATACTTTTAATCTTTTTATATTGACATACAGTAGATATCGCTATATTAAATGATTAGTGATAATGTAATGTTACTACCTCCTCAATCTAACTCTAAATACCTTTTCCACTGATTTGACTTCAGAAAGGTGCATCCAAAGTCATGTACCTTAGCGGAAGTCTCGAACCAGCCAGCGAAGCCGTTCTCCCTGCAGAAGGAGTCCAGTTTGGGCTGCTGGGAGCCCAGCTGGTCTGACTTATTGGCCAGGAGGACCACTGGAACCGGCCTCCCATGGTTTAGGGTCACCTTAGGGAGAGGAAAGACATGTTAAGGGATGATTTTAAACAACTGTAATTAAGGCTTTTAAAAATTGAACTGTAGGAGAAGGTGTTGTATCTATTCATGACCTTTTATACTATAGGTACAGTATGTATTTCCTATCACATTGTCACTTTTCCTTTACATTTGTTAATTTGTTATGATGAACATATCTGTTGTAACCACTTTAAGGTGTCAGAATGATTCAAAATAAGTGCTTGTTAGTTGGGAAAATTAAATCTGAAACCCCCTACCCTTACACCTTTGCTATGTTGGTACTCACTATTATTTTAACCCAAGCTTTTGTTCTTCTAATTTTTCACACTATTCTGTCCCTTTTTGCTAGTATGAGTGCTTCACCATGTCCACCAGGATGGATTGTCCCAAAATATGGGCCATTTGAGTAATGAACACCTCTCTGGCTTTAAAGTTAACACTTTTGGCCTTTGTACATGGTTGGATGACAAGCAGTACAATATGTGACACAGTATTGAGGTGTGAATTTTGTAAATAGAAAGAGGGGGAGCGGGGTCCATAAGCATCGACTGACAATTTAAGCAGTTCCAACATTGTGCCTTTTACCTCCGCTTCGTGCACATTTTCTGCATTGCAGCTGTTAAACCTACTAGCAAAATCACACTTTGAATGTGTTCCTATAGTACATGAAACCAAGGTGACTACAGCAAGTGTTGAACTACTGCAATGAAATGTTGGACATTTAGACTGAAATATAGATGATGTGTATTTACATATATTCATTTATCCCGGCCCTAACCTTAACTGTAACTTGGAATACATTGTTGTGGGTGTTCGCTGAAAGTGACGAGAATGACAGGTTAGAAGGAAAGGCCTTAGTTTGTGCACACCTTGGAGTCCAGGTCGTCCTTCCACTTCAGCACGGCGTCGAACGTGGAGGCCCTCGTCACGTCAAACACCACCAGAGCTCCCACCGCCTCCCGGTAATAGACACGAGTCATGTTCCCATAGCGCTCCTGCCCTGGGACGCATGGTACAGCCAATCAGACACACATAAACATTTATCTAAAGGAACCTTTTTAGAGTGAGAAAACATTTTGTTGAGCAGGGTTTTGTGCATGATCTGTTTGATTTTGATTGGGGTAAAATCGATCTGTGTGCTGATGTGGAAACTGCATGGTCTTATTTTTTATCTTGGTTTTATGGAGATCATTGATAGACATGCACCCCTGCGTAAATTTAGAGTAAAGGGACGAGACAATCCTTGGTTTTCTGCTGAGCTGTCTAGTCTCCTTCATGAGAGAAACAAGGCCTGGGCAAAGGCTAGGAAATCAGGCTCAGAGGTAGAGTGGCTGCGTTTTAGGCAGCTAAGGAATAGCTTCACTTTAAATGTCAATAGTGCAAAGTCGAAGTACTATTTGTCAGTTACCACAGAAAACCTAAATAATCCTAGGAAATTTTGGAAAGCAATAAAATCGATATCCACCAGTGAGATCCGTAATGAGCTACCTCCGTGCCTTACCACAGCATCTGGCACTATATCGGACAGGGCCACTATGTTAAATTGCTTTAATGAGCATTTTGTGTCCTGCGGTTCTATGTTTGATTCTGTGACTAACTCTGCTTCTGTGAACACCCCAATCCGTGACTCTGAACAATGTGGTCTGGAAAACCCTTTCAGTTTTACTCCTTTTACTGTCAATGTTGTTCATGAAGCCTTATCTAAGCTAGATCCTAAGAAACCGGCTGGCCCGGACAACGTAGAACCTTTCTTTTTAAAGATAGCTGCAGATTTTATTGCTCTTCCTCTTACTACTCTTTTTAACCTCTCCCTCAGCACAAATGCAATTCAAAAAGTATGGAAGTCAGTATATGTCTTGCCTTTACTAAAAGGAGGGGAGGCAACTATTTTAAATAACTATAGGCCAATCTCTAAATTGTCAGTTCTGGCGAAGGTGCTCGAACGCCTAGTGAGTGAACAGGTAAAGGAGTTTTTATGTAAAAATTATATCCTGTCTAAACATCAGTCAGGCTTCAGAAAACAACATAGCACCATCACTGCCACAATGAAAGTGGTGAATGACATTACGAGTATTTTAGACAATAGGCAGAGTTGTGCAGCTCTATTTATTGACCTTTCCAAAGCGTTTGATACCGTCGATCATCGCATCTTAAAGCAGAGGCTACTCAGTATCGGCATATCCAGCCATGCAGTGGGGTGGTTTGTGAACTACCTCTCTGAAAGGTCCCAATGTGTTCACTTTGATGGGCTGTCTTCTGAGTGGTTAAACATTGCTAATGGTGTTCCTCAAGGTTCTGTTTTAGGTCCACTTTTATTCTCCATATATATCAACAGTTTAGGTGAAAATGTGGATGAAGCTACTTTACATTTTTATGCTGATGATACCGTGATGTATTGTGCAGGTCCCTCCATTAAGGAGGCTGGTGTTAAATTACAGGCTGTTTTTAACATTATTCAGACTCAGCTTGCTGAACTTAAGCTTATTTTAAATGTTGATAAAACCAAGGTAATGCTATTTTCAAAAGCTAAAAAGACACCAGAGCCTGTTTTGGATATTGTTACTATGCAAGGACAAGTACTTGAAGTGATTACCAGTTATAAATACCTAGGTATCTGGCTTGATGATTGTCTTACTTTTAAACTTCATGTCAATAACCTGCTTAAAAAGCTGAGGGTTATAGGTTTCTTTTTCAGAAACAAGTCCTGTTTCTCTTTTGAAGCCAGGAAAAGGCTAGTCACTGTGACCTTTTTACCTGTGCTGGACTATGGTGATTTGTTGTATATGAATGCACCTGCCCATTGCCTGAACAAGTTAGATGCCGCCTATCACAGCGCACTGAGATTTGTCACAAATTGTAAAGCACTTACTCATCACTGTACCCTGTATGCCAAGGCAGGTCTGCCATCACTTACTGTAAAGAGGATCAGTCATTGGTACACGTTTATTTATAAAGCTTTGTTGGGTAAACTCCCATATTATATCTGCTCTCTGATAACACAGAGAGTTGCAAGCAGCTATTGTCTGAGATCGCATGATGTAGTATTGTTAGATGTGCCAAGAGCAAGGACTGTCTTAGGTAAGACAGCTTTTATGTGCGCAGCTCCATTTGCTTGGAACAGTCTTCAGCAAGAATTGAAACTGAGCAATCTCATTCCTCTGCATGTTTTTAAAGCTAGGCTAAATGAAATGCTCGTTGATACTATGGCCACTTGTAAATGTCTATAACTATGTAAATGTATCCTGTAAATATAATGTATAATGTCCTTTATTGTTTTATGTTTCATGTGGAACCTATATGCTGCAGGTCTCCCTTGAAAAAGAGATCTATGATCTCAATGGGACCAATCTGGTTAAATAAAGGTTTGAAATTAAATGAAATGAGAGTCTGTAAAAATCGAATCAACTCATATCATGGTTTATTAGTGATAAATAAAGCAATGTTGTGTGTGTACACTGTTTGTTTATTCTGCAGAAGCACCCATCATGTGACTGATATTATCAGCATGGGATCAGTTGAGTCACAGCCAGGCACAAGATCTACATTCCTCGACCAGGCTTCAAATGACAGGGAGGGACCAGGCATCCAGCTTGCACAAACACACTGTCCCTGTGTTCACATCTCTCACTGCATAACTGTCAATCCTATCGACTGATATCACTGAGTCATAACAGTAAAACAAAAAAAAGTGTATTTTAGTGCAGTAGATTGTTTCAAGACACTTTTGATTGTTTTAGAAAGCAAACATATTTGCATAACTGCATTTCAAAAGCTTATTTATTAGAGGTTTAGGAATGTACAGATGTTCACAGCTGCTGAAACTTTTCTTACCAGCAACGATCCTTAAACTAAATGTTCCTACAGTAAACAAATCCAGCAGAGGTTTATAGTTGAACGGTCAACTGATGCCACAATAAACCTGTAATTCAGTATGTAACAGTTTGACAGACCTGCTATGTCCCAAAGCTGCAGCCGGATCACAGTGTCGTTGTCCCACTGCAGCACCTTCAGGGCGAAGTCCACCCCGATGGTGGCTCGGTAGTGCTGGGAGAAGATCTGATGCACGTACCGCTTAATGATGGACGTTTTGCCCACTCCCAGGTCTCCAATGACCAGCACTTTGAACAAAAGCTCCTGCTGCATAGCTGCAGCTCTCCACACACACACAAAAACTCGTTGGAGAATTATAGTAACTTTATGAAGGTTCCCAGGTATCCCAAAAAACTGTAAACTAGGTATAAAGTCACACCTAGCCTAGAAATTATGATGTTTGACTAGTAAGACATGTTTTTGTAGTGTAAAACACAAACAAAAAACAAGATATGATCCAATATCATCGAGATTTGCGAGATAAATTGTCAACCACCAGTTTAATCACACATGACAGTCTGACTCCGTTTACCTCGCTCCTGTGAGAAGCTCCACCACACATGTTATTAACTGGTGCTGCGTTCAGCGGTCGTCGTAAAAAGTCGCCTGTGAAATTTCAGAGCATTTTTCTACGGTAGGTTTACGCCAAAAGTACTAATGCAACAGTACGTACTTTACTTGGCTGATCATAGAAGGTATGGGTTCATATTAATTTGCAACCAGAAAAACACCCTGCTGTAGAAAAGTGAAATTGCAGTAAATATAAAAGTTTGATATTCGTAGTGGAAAAAATCATGTTGGAAATTGGTGTAATGATCCCATAGGCCTATAGTATTTTCCTATATAATGTTTAGTTTAATATGTCTAGTTTAACCAGGTTAAATATCAGAATCAGAATACCTTTAGTCCAACAGAAGGGACATTTGCAGCGTTACAGCAGGAAAGAGCCACAGACAGCTTAATGTTGCATCTTACATGGGTTAAAAAAGTACTAAGTTATAATATAATAAACAATATGCTAAAAAAAAAGTACTAAGTTATAATATAATAAACGATATGCTAAAAAAGTTACATAATTTTCAAAAATACAGATCAAAAACAAATCAAATCTACAAATCAAATCCTGTAGCAGTTCTTAGGATTTAGCAGCCTGGGATATATATTACAGTTATTAAAGATGGCATATGTATACAAAGTATATATTGCACATAAAGCACATATTGCACATAGTTTGACGGTATTTAACAGCAGCAAGTTACACAATTTACAAAATACAAGATACATACCTTGTAACAGTGACAGTTTAGCAGCCAGGTATAAATTACACAGTTATTAACGGCATATATATATATTGATTTAGTGGCCAGGTATAAATTACACAGTTATTAATGGAATATATATATTGCCCATATAGCTCATATAGCACAAAGTTGGTTTGTATTTAGCAGCAAATAAATAATTAAAATAAATCTAACAACAAATGTTACCATGAATTGTTAAATGTGTGTAGGACATATTTTATATCCGTTTCTATTTTAATTTGCAATGTGCTAAAGTGTATCTCCCAGTAAAGGGATTAGCATATTTGATAATGATATATTTCATCAAATGTTCGTGATCGCTCATTTCGTAATTACGGTATTTGTTCTCCCACAGCCTACGAAAGCAGCAGCCAGTCCCCGCCATTGTTGCTGCGCAACTCCGCGACCGCGTGCAGTTACGGTAGTGGTGCTGATGAGGGCGAGGAGGAGATTTGATGCTGCTGCTGTTTCCTGCTGCCATTTCCTACGCGGATCTTCACGGAAATATCATCAACAGTCTGAAGAAGCTGCAGTTCGGATCCTCAGTCGGTTTGCAACAGGCTGCTTTAATCCGTCATTTTAAAAGAGTCACGTGCTGATGGTGGATAGCAGGCCGGGTTAATGATGCATGTTTGTGTTCGGTTATTCCTGTAACACAACCACTGCTACTGGAAGATCGTTTTTAGAAGACCAAATCATCGATATGGGGTTTGCTTTTTACAGCTACTGAGCTATTAACTTTAAGGTACGTTATTATTGACATATGTTACCGCATTTGTAATGTGTAATCGTTATTGTCAATACTCACACTTGCATTAAGCTAAATGGGTTGGGCCTCATGAGTCAAGTGATTTACTCTTTTTTTTTAATAAACCTTGAAGGATATTTTAGACATTGGAGGTCTTCTAGCATCAGAGGCAAATATCTGTTATCAACTAGCAGTCCTGTTTAGCATCCATCTCTCCATTTAGCTTACGTTTGGCTAGTTTCAAGGACGCCCTGTGTGTTATTGCTGTGTGTTATTGCTGCACATGGGGGCTGACTATGCCAATGTTTATTGAGTTCAAGAGGAGTGGCCCTACCCCCCCCCCCCCCCCCCCCCCCCCCCAAATTAGATCACCCCAACTGTAAATCACATGGACCCCGCTGAGGGGGTTTGGGTCTATTACTCTCCCCTCATGGTGGCGGCCATAATCCAGGAATAATCCATGTGGTCGTCACAGTTTGTGGATTAAATGCACATTTGTTTTTTAATCGGAAACTGTTTAAAGATTTACTCTAATTCTTAAGCAGAGGGTGGCATTCTGTAGTGTGTTTCATTGTCTTTAGAGGCTCTTGTGTGGGTTTGATCAAGATTTGTTTTAATTTAATATCATTTTTTCCCTTAAAATGTTTGATATTGTTGAGACAATCTGAAACAGTCAAATATTTTGTGAGACACAGCCCACACAATTTTGTATTTGAGTATCAAAATTGAGCATAACTAGTAGATATGGCTCATAATTCAACTTTTGGAAAAGGTTTAATTTCAGTTGTAGTTATCTTTGTTTTTTAAATAGATGCATTTATCTGTTAAAACAATATTTTACATCGTAATATGGATTAGATGTGGAACATTTATGTAACTAATTTTGTCAAAAGGTGGATTAATTTTTCAAGGAATCATCTCATGTTCCTTTGAGTATGATCATAAACTCAGTGCCTTTATGTTTGGATTGTTAGGCAGAAAATACACTTAAAGCCATAACATGGATGACTGAATGATTTTATTTCCCCACAGATTTTATCAAGGTGAGACATGGAGACAATATGGCTTTATCAGTTCCGTCTGATCGTCATCGGAGACTCTACGGTCGGCAAGTCGTGTCTGATTCGGAGGTTCACTGAGGGCCGCTTCGCCCAGGTGTCGGACCCTACGGTGGGGGTGGACTTCTTCTCCCGCCTGGTGGAGATCGAGCCGGGCAAAAGAATCAAACTGCAGATCTGGGACACAGCGGGACAGGAGAGGTTCAGGTAAGGCCAAGCTCCTTATTCCCTGTTTGGACTTTCTCTTCATCCATGCACAAACAGATATTATAACCTACACACACACAAAAGTCACTCAGATCTCTGCTGGTTTTACATGCATTTATTTTGTGTGTGTTTAAGTTTGCTTTCTTTTTATAAATCCACACAACACCAACATAACATAAACACCTCTTGCTCTCATTCCCCCAGCCTTGTCCAGATCCTGTTGGATGTCTCCTCAGATGGGCAATACAGATACATTTGTTCAAACCTCACAGAGTTTACAGTATATACTAAATGTCCAGTTTACCAGCCCCAACAGTGTGTAGCCGGTATTGTTTTCACCTTGTGAGCCTGTGTGTTTGCGTGTGTGTGTGTGTGTGTGTGTGTGTGTGGTGTGTGTTTGCGTGTGTGTGTGTGTGTGTGTGTGTGTGTGTGTGTGTGTGTGTGTGTGTGTGTGTGTGTGTGTATGTGTATTATACTGGTAAGAAATGGTCCTGACATACTATACTATGACATATTATTAAACATTAACTCTCACCGTTCAAATATGTGACAATACTAGGATGTCTTGTAATGACACACTTGACTATGATATTGTGTATCTTTACTTTGAACCTTTTATTGGCACACTCTATTATAAAGTTGAGTTTTTTGTCTCTTAAATTGTCATAGTATATTATCTCCGAACAATCTTCACAAAAAATAATGAGAACAAAACAATAAAACATTAATATACAGACAACAGGCCATAACGGGCCATTCTTATTTCTATATAAATTCAAATTCTGAAACTGAATATCCCATTTCTCTCCATTTTATACGTCATTGAGCCATCGTACTTTGCATTTATCACATGTACATTTGCAGAATCTGTCCCAAAAAAGCTGGATGCATTGGTTTGGGATTATTAGCTTCAGAACAGAAAACAAAGTTTCTCTCTCTCTCTCTCTCTCTCTCTCTCTCTCTCTCTCTCTCTCTCTCTCGCTCTCTCTCTCTCTCTCTCTCTCTCTCTCTCTCCTCTCTCTCTCTCTCTCTCTCTCTCTCTCTCTCTCTCTCTCTCTCACTCCCCCCAGGTCCATCACCAGAGCGTACTACCGTAACTCAGTGGGGGGGCTCTTACTCTTCGACATCACGAACCGCCGCTCCTTCACCAACGTCCACAACTGGCTGGAGGAGGCCCAGAGCCACGTGCAGCCGCACAACATCGTCTTCCTGCTGGTCGGGCACAAGTGTGACCTGGAGGCCCAGCGGCAGGTGAGCCTCCAGGAGGCAGAGAAGCTGGCCGGGGCCTTCGGGATGCGCTACGTGGAGACATCGGCACGAGAGTCCATCAACGTGGAGAAGGTGTGGAGGAGATTTCACTTGTTTTCAGATATAAGCTCAAAAATAGCACAACGACATTGACTAGGGGTGACACTTGATTAGCTTATCAAGCTTTTCAAGGCTTAACACTTAAATAAAGTACTTTCAAATAAAACTGAACTGAATTCAATATTTTTTATAGATTCTAAACCAAGTCATTATTCTGTGAAAGGTTACACATAGGAGAAGTAGAATTACATAATCATAGTAGAGTTAACACAAATAAACTATAGAAAATAAACAACAGCATTAATTCTTAGCTCCTGGATTATCTGGAAATTCGTTTTTCCGTTTTTTTAGCACTGGTGATTTACATGGAATCTTATTTACTGTGTTTCACAATATAGGTCCTATATATTATACAGAAAATTGACTGAGGCAGTCATGATCTGAGTTGAATTAAAAGTCATTTCTGAACTATTTAGGCAAGCTTTAAATCATACAGACTTTATAAACATTTCCCAAAATTGCATCCTGTTGATGACTGACATAAAATTATTTTACAAAACAAACAAATAGATGTAAAGCTTAAACACCAGCTGCCTTCCTCAACTCACATAAACACTTGTTCACAATTATACTGTGCAAAAATCCCTTTTATGTCAAATACATACATACATTTTTATAAATGTCCCAACATTTACTGTATAGGGTCTCAATACTTTAATGCTATTTATGTCACTCAGTTTCTCTTAAGTTACTTCCACTAATTTTGTATCCATGGTTGTGTACCTATTTGTTTTTATTTTTGTCTTTTCACTAATGTGCGCTTTTCTTTTTTTATTATTGCTGGCTTTTTTTTACCTGCTATGCCACTTTTGCTGTAACACTGTACACTTCCCCGCTCTGGGACTAATAAGTAATCTGATTACTTTAGAATCCCCCACAGTCTTTTTTTTTTGCTTCTTTTTCTCAGGCGTTTGTGGATCTGACGAGGGACATCTTTGCGCTGGTACAGAGCGGGGACATCAAGATCCAGGACGGCTGGGAGGGCGTAAAGAGCGGACTTGTTCCCAACACGGTCCACTCCTCCGAGGAGGTCACCAAGGGCAACCGGCAGTGCTTCTGCTGACTCCCCCACTGCAGCATGGGGGGCTGACGGGCGGCCATACTTCAGAGGACTCCTTCTGAAGGAGCTCTCTCTCCAGCCTCGGCTGCACGCAGACCACTTTTTGGAGACTCGTTCTATTTTCCCCGCTCAGTTACACACCTTAATTCTATAAATAAGACATTGTTTAATCCTTCTGGTGCCTGTTTTTGGCTCTTTGTTGATAGAAGCACAAGCAGCATCCTAACCCCGTTTCCTGTTCTGTGTGCATGTGACTGTAATAATCCTGCAGACCCTCAACACTTCAGCTTTACTGCACATTCAGCCTTTCCTACAGTTATACTCCCGTAGGCAGTTATATGTTGTTGGCACACATCTCTTAAAGACTGATACTGTCAGTGTAATGTGTTTTATTTTATATTTAAACCTGATTCAGTGATGCCAAGACTGAGCCATGCCTCTTCCTTTTCATGTGTAATACTCTGAATAAATTGCAACCTTGTACAGATACGCAGTGAGAGAGACGAGACGGAAAACAGATCTTACTGCACCTCAAATCCTAGTGACTTAATACAGAAAGAGGGCGAAGGGTGATGAAGTCAAATTGAACCAAAGTATGACACCTGGCTGGACTATTTGTTGTGTATCGGAAGGAGTTTGTTAAAATGTAGAAAAGGAAAAGCTACTGTAGCTGCTCACTGATTACCATTACAACCTGATCATAGTAAGGATTATTTTTAAATATAGTTAGTACCTAAATTCATGTTTACTACAACTACTGTGTTAGTTTACTGGTCAGCACCTTAAAGCCTTTAGTATGGAACCCCAAGGTGTTCAATATGTATTTAAATAATAATAATAATCATATGCCTATATGTACAATACACAGGCTAAATAAACCAACAGTTGATTTAGTGAAATTACTGAATAAATGATTAAACAACTCATTAGTTTGACATGTGATCTTATCGTTCCTTTTTTCATTTTTCACTAAGTTTTTAGTTGATAAGGGTAATTTTCTCAAATATTTCCTTACTTATTTTATCATTTTATCGTATTGTCTAATTTTAATAGCAGCTGTTGTGCTAACTTAAACAATGTGATCGGCTAAAAGGTGAGAGATTTCTTTATTTTACACAATGTATTTGTGTAATTTGTCATAATGACTTATCTTTTCAATATTCAACACTTTGGGGCTCCGTACTGATTTCAAAAGTCTGTTTAAACATTCACAATTAACACTTAACATTACACGATACCTTCTGGTCACAATCTCCTCTCACACTAATCACTTAATTCAATTAATCAACTTTAAGCGATGCATGCCTCCATTTTAACCCACATTTTCCAAATAATTAAAAGATTTTTATTTTTGATATACTCTTAATAGCCATTGCATTCAGTTCCTGGGATCTCATCAGAAAAAAGCAGAGTTAATGAAGATACAAAACTGTATGTGAAACACTGACGGATTTGAAAAATGTGGATTATTTAAACCCCGATTGGTTGCTCAGACTGTAGGACAGATTGTTGGCATTCATATTCACTAATTCAACAGTTTAGTACATATGAGTGAGTTCATACAGTGTAACAGTCCAGTGGAAGAGTCTCCTCCGAGTGCCTTTTGGAGGAAAGAAGCCTAACTAGCACACACAGTCATCTTCCTGTTCAAAGATAAAACTATTAAAATATCTGAACTGTAGGGTGGTAGGAAATACACTGGTGTCACATTACACACAACCTGTAAATAATTTGTTTGAAACCAAACCCTGACAAAGCCGACTGTTCGATGTTGTTGTGACTCTGGGATTGTTATAGCACAAGTGTCATCAATAATACATGCCTGGAGACATTAATAAAGATTTGTCGTGTGCACAAAATCGGAGGTACGCTTCTCTCTTTAATATATTACTACTGCTGATACTGTTGTGTAACCAGAACCGGAAGTAGACAGACTCAATGTTAACAGTAATACTGTCTGCGACCACTAGAGGGCAGCCTCAGTGTGGGGGAGCTTTTTCAACACATGTTCAAAATGAGGCATATTCTTACTTATTAATAATTAAACACATTTCAAATAAAAACTTCAAAGAAAGAAAATAACGATGGTTTTGGCCTTTTGCCTTTAATATAGAAAAAGTTGGAGAGAGTGGGGAAAAAGGGCAGCCATTTCGATTTTTTTGAAGGAATTCACATTTTGTATCAGTTAATTTGGTACAACTTTTTAAATAGAAATCATAATTCTCAATATACTATTTGCTATTCTTAATCTTAAATTCATTTTCTCACATGATATGGTTTTCTTGCTGCTTGACCCAATAATATTTGGTCTCTTCCTTGGTAACCAAAGTAGATTAGACTGCTTATCTAATATTTGCATGTACGTAGCTTTAATTTCTCTGTAATATCTACACCCCAGAGAGCAGCAGGGAGTTGTTAGTACTGAAGGTAACAAGTATGGACAGTTACCAAATATGGACAAGGCAGACAGAGGGCCTCAAACAGGAAGGAAGGCATGTGGTGTAGAACTACACTGTCTGGCCATTTTGTCAGAGGGAGAGGTGCACAGGATGGCTGAACCATGCCAAGGGGTTTGTGTTTATTTCAATTTATCAATACTTTCTTTTACCATAAAGTAAAACACTGACTGAATAAATAAAGATGTATGTGATTATTTTATGGAGATACATTTAAGAATTACACTTTTTAGGCTGCAGGATGCATGCAAGTTATTTAGTATAACAGCTGAAAGGTTACTGACTGAGTGCATTTTAAACATACCAATATTCAAGTGGAGTCACAGGTGAAAACCAGTAAAAGTGGTCTTTAAATAGCCTTTCCCCTGCAGCTCATTCTGAGGAGGTTTGAAGTTATTTTCAATAACAAAAGAGGTAGATAAAACACCTTCCATTAGCATGAATTATTTTTATTTTTAAAAAAAAAACATTGAAAATACAGCTTTTTCTTTTTTTTACATGACAGCCATATGTACAGGATATAAAACAAAGCGAAAAATAGATCATTACGGTTAATGAGATAGCAATGAGGAGGGAAGATGATGGTATGGATTGTTCAAAGGCACGAGGACTGAGAATGAAGAGCTCTGAGTGACAGGAGCCACAGCCACACACCCTTTAATGATATCAGAGTGAAAGTATTTCAATATTTCAATATTTTCTGAGATACAGCTGGACTCTTTGTTTCTCCAGCCCCGGTGTCTCTCGGGCAGAAGGATGGCTCTTTAGGCACCAAGTTATCGAGTCCCAATTCAATCCAAATCTACCTCTTCTTCATCTCCCTTCTCCACAAACATTGTGTGATATGTCATGTTTTTACACATCTAAAAAAGGTGGGAACATTTCATAAGCAACAACAGGCAGCATCTATAGAAATGCCGGAATAGTGCATCCACCAGGACCATTTTCATCAAAAAAAGGGGTTTCAGCAGCATTAATTATGAAATGAAGTGCCTTTAGTGTAATTTACAAGTAAAACATTTCTCACCTATATGTTAAAACAGTGTGTTTGTATAATATACAGCATCATACAAATGAAGAAACGGTTTTAAACAAATACTGTACAATCTACAGTAAAGCAGTTTACTAGAGAAACAAAAAAATACTATAAACAATAAGTTATAAAGACTCCAGAGGGTTGGGGTTAAAACATTTCTTTTTATATATATATTACACAATTTAGAGACCAACTTTTAATGGTCGTTTGTAATGGAAAGCCCAGTTTCCAAAACAAGTTCATTTGGTCAAAAAGATTTAAGATTTGGTGATGCAAGACATTTTCGACAAAAGGGGAAACAAATAAACATTAAAACAGGAGACCAAAAAAAGATCAGCACACTAAAAACTGTACATGTAACAATCAAAATACATTAACACCTAAAAAGCATATCCAGTTGATTGAGATTGATGTGAAAAAGGCCGAACAAAAAAGAAAAGCTATCCCAAACAAACAATACTATAAACATTTGAATATTAACAGATCTATCAGTAGAAGTTAATAAAGTAGTACAAATAAAATACGGATGAATAAAATGAAAGTGATGGAAACTCTCTAATTCTTCCTTAGTTTGACTTGAAACTAAACAAGAACCTTTGTGCGTCTTTTCACAAGTAAAAAAGGTGAATGCGATATTTGAGTGGTGATGAAAAACAGAGACCCCTCATTCAGAAACAATCCCCAGCCCTCAGATCAGCCAGAGGTGGACAGATTATAATAATTTAAATGTAATGCGATTAATGACCTCATTAAGTGCAAATCTGATCAACCCTCCCCAGATCTGCAGAAATATCTGGGTGCAGCCATGCGAATGACATGAAACACATATGTAAAGGAAATCTGGAATTAGCAAATTCGATTATTTGAAATTCATAGATATGTACATGCCCATATCAAACCAAATATTGGCAAATAAGTGTATGAAAGCATGTTTTGGAGATGGATGGGGTTTTCACTATCAGAAAGCAGAGCAGAGGATTAATGATGTGACTCTTGCTTTGCAGTTTTTCGTTCAAATCAAGTTCATGGCCCTTTAAAGGGTAGAAAGAAGTTTGTTGCCCATTGGGCAGTTAAAAAACATTTTGTTTTCTGGATCATGTTAAAATGAAAGCCATAAAATACCATTTCAACAAAGTCTATATGAAACAGATAGTTAACGATATGCAACTAACTTAATATGACTTAAAAAAGGTCCCGTGTACAGTTGCTGTCTGGCTGTTCTCTGGGAGCAGGAGCTCTGTAAAGCGTGGACTTCAGCCTCGGACACTGAACCGTACAGTGTGATGACATCGAACACACTGATGCTGTAAAGCACAGACTCAGTGCCGGCTTGTTTACACACAAACAACCAGCCTGCTGCAATGAACAAAGGACCAATAAACTAGAAACTATCTACTAAAGGCTCTCGCACATTGTGGGGGTGAGACTCACTGATCCACGTGTCTTGACCATTGGAACTTCACTAGCTCAACTCATAATATTCAGTGACAGCAGCTCTACTAGCCGGTGGATCTACAGCGCACCGGTAACGGGGAGGTGGTGAAGACGGGAACAGTTACATTTTAACATTCTTCCAATTAACAGCTTCAGGTGCGCCGCAGTACACTTTGTTAGTTAGGTCCATCGAAAGCATGTTATAGGCAGGTAAATATCTCCCGGAGGGCTAAGGCTAAGTACGAATAGACAGATTAAATGGACACATAGGCCAGAGAGGGGCCTGTCACAGTGTCTAGCCATCAAGTTAATCAGCCTCGGAGTCAGAGGTAAGATGTGTGTGTGTGGCGCTCTCTTGCCTCTCCTCCCTTTAAACCCAGGGCTGCGCTCCAGGCCCCCTACATCGCAGCATTTGGCCGCCAGTTCAACCTCGCTGCCAAAACGTGTGTAGTTGCTCTGGCAACACCCCCCAGGTCTACGGCAGTGGGCATCAGGGGCTGCTGCCTCCCTCCACGTTGTTGTCGTCGGGGGCGCCCTTGTAGATCGGGCTCTTGGTCTGCAGCGCGGGCGCGTATTTGCGTGGGGACTTCCGCCTGGCTGCTTCACTGCTGTTCTTAATACCGTATAGGAAGTAGATGGCGAAACCTGGAGAGGAGGAGAGAAGCAACGAGAAGTTACAAAACAGTCACAGAAAAGTGAAGCAATAGAAATGAGAAACACCATTGGTAATGTTTATATTGTACCGATAAGCATCCAGACGGCGAAGCGGCACCATGTTCCTCGGTCCAGCTGCATCATGAGGTAGATGTTGACGAAAACGCTGAACAGGGGCAACCAGGGCAGCAGAGGGACCTTCAAAGGACAGGGGGAGAGTCAGCATAACTATTTTAAACTTTACCTGGTTCTTCTCTAGATAGCACTCAGTGAGAGAGTCAGGGAACAATGTGTACCTAAGTATACGTAGAGTTTTATAATGCCAAAACAAAACAGCCATATCTCCCTATCTGTAACACAACGGGTGCTAACTCAGAAGTTTGTTTGTTTGTAGCCTTTATTTATCCAGGTAAAAATCCTCTCTTACAAGGGAGACCTGCCGCACATTGGTTACACATGTAACAGAAAACAAAAGGACACATACAACATAATGACAGGGGTACAATTTACAAGCTTATTCACAAAGACAGGTACCAGGAGTATCAAATATCAATTCATCAAGCTGTGCTTTAAAATGATGCAGGGGAACCAAAATGCTCATTTTCAATATGTTTTGCAGAGTGTTCCAAGCTAGAGGAGCTGCGCACATAAACGTTTTTGTGCCTAAAACAGTCCTAGCACTTGGTACATGTAATAAAAACACATCCTGGGATCTTAGGCAATAGCTACTTGCGACTCTCTGTGATATCAGTGAGCAGATATAAGGTGGTAGTTTACCCAACATGGCTTTGTAAATGAACATGTACCAATGACTGAGCCTCCGTACAGTAAGTGATGGCAGACTTGCCCTGGCATACAGGGTAGTGATGAGTAAGTGCTTTACAGTTTGTAACAAATCTCAGCGCACTGTGATAGGCGGCATCTAACTTGATTAGGTAATGGGCAGGTGCATTCATATATATCAGATCACCATAGTCCAGCACAGGTAAAAAGGTCACAGTGACTAGCCTTTTCCTGGCCTCAAGCGAGAAACAGGACTTGTTTCTGAAAAAGAAACCTAGCTTCACCCTTAGCTTTCTAAGCAGATTATTGACCTGAGGTTTAAAAGAGAGACAATCATCAAGCCAGATACCAAGGTATTTATAACAGGTAACCACTTCAAGTACTTTTCCTTGCGTAGTAACAATATCCAAAGTTGTCTCCGGTGTCTTTTTAGCTTTTGAAAATAGCATTACCTTGGTTTTATCCACATTTAAAAGAAGCTTAAGCTCAGAGAGCTGCGTCTGAATAATATTAAAAACAGCCTGTCATTTAACAACAGCCTCCTTAATGGAGGGACCTGCACAATACATCACGGTATCATCAGCATGAAATGTAAAGTTGCTTCATCCACATTTTGACCTAAACTGTTGATATAGATGGAGAATAAAAGTGGACCTAAAACAGAACCTTGAGGAACACCATTTGTAATGTTTAACCACTCAGAAGTGAGCCCATCAAAATGAACACATTGGGACCTTTCAGAGAGGTAGTTCACAAACCACCCCACTGCATGGCTGGATATGCCAATACTGGCCAGCCTCTGCTTCAGGATTTGATGATCGACGGTATCGAAAGCTTTGGAAAGATCAATAAACAGAGTGTGTGTGGTTACCTTGAAGGTGAGAGCCTCTTTGCTCTCCGGCTGCCTCCAGATGATGATGACACAGACGGCGCAGAGTAAAGTCAGGATGACACACGGCACCACGACGCCTGCATGTCCCGCCAGCAGCTCTCTGAGACAGTTAGCCAGGATAACGCAGAGGACAGTGATAAAAACAGCTGCAAAGAGACAAGCAGGAGACAAGGTTAGGTAACAAAATCCTAGGTTGCCCAACAATGATGGTTAGCTTATTATCCTCGTTTTCTATTTATCAGCCATCTTGAGATTCCTCCCAGCCACACTTACAGATGATAGCGGTGGTGGCGTAGACGATGTTCCCGGACGTCTGCGTTGGGACCTTTCCACTCGGGCAGAACAGCAGCTTGATGGTTAAAGTCTCCCGGAGCGGTTTCTCCTCCGTCTCCATGCCGTACTCGTCACCGCTGTCTCCTCCGCTCACGGCCACCTTCTCCCCTTCCACCATCTCCACCAGCTTCTCCGTCTGGCTGGAGGAATTCAGTCTGCCGGGCTGGTACCTGCAGAGGGAGGGGGAGATATGTGAATTCCTCAACTTTTATTATAAGATTACTTTATCTGTGCAGAGATTGGGATGCAGGTATTCTTCTAAACTGGCTTCTTTGATATTTGCGATGTCTGCTAGAGAGTAGTTACCACATTATTACAACTTCAGAAGACTTTAAGTGTGCTTTATTAGAGATGGCAAAAGTACACACATTCTTTACTCAAGTAGAAGTACAGATACTCGTGTTTAAAAATACTCAAGTACTGACTAAACTTCTTTACTCAAGTAAAAGTAAAGAAGTATGGGCTTTGAAATGTACTTAAGTAAAAAGTACCCATAACTACCAGCTGTTTACATTTTTAGTAACTGACCTCACTTTATATTAATAGAACAATAATGTTATTGTTAGCTAATGAATGCTTCGATGCTGAACAACGTCAACATGACAACGTTTTCATTGGTCCCTCTTCTTTAGAGAAGACCAGGAAATGATGGATACACGGATCGTGTTCAAATCAATAGACACGCAATGACTCGAAATAATAATGATCACGCCACCAAACACACATTAAAACTAAAGTAACGAGCCTGTGTTGAAAATGTAAGAAGTAGAAAGTACAGGTATTTGTGTTAAAAGTGTAAGAAGTCAAAGTAAAAAGTCGTCAGAAAAACAAGTAGACGTAAAGTACTGATACCAGAAAAATGTACTTAAGAACAGTAACAAAGTATTTGTACTCCACACTTCCCACCTCTAGCTTTAATCGAATAAAAAAGGTGCTTACCTGAGGATGAGGACACAGATGGCCACTAAAGAGTACGCCAACAGAGTTCCGATAGACATGAGGTCCACCAGCGCTGCCAGGTCGAACAGGAAGGCCATCAGAGCTGTAAGGAGGAGTAAAAAGGGATTTCTTAGAAAATAAACACATCTCTGTAACGTCAAAACAAATGCTTTGATGGCTAAGACTGCCTACAATGCAGAAAAAGTTTGCGTTTATGCAGACCTTTCTAAGAGTTATTGATCTCTAACCAATAGCCAGTGAGTCAGGCTTATAGATAGAGCTGAGGCAGGAGAGAGAGCTGTGACTCCAGAGAAATATAAACATCAGCTCTGACAGACTTGACGGGATAGACACAGCAGAGACAATCTGCCTGGACTCAAGCGATGAACAAACATGACAGGAAATTACCCAGGTAAAGGTAATCAAACACAGTAAAAGATGATACACAGATAGAGGCCGTGATTGTACCTGCAACAACGCCAGAAGCGATGGTAGCCAGGAGAGGAGTCTTGGTGCGCTCGTTGATCCTGGATAGAATACGGAACAGCAGGCCGTCCTCCGCCATGGCGTAGATCACACGGGGCATCGGGAACATGGAGCCTAGGAGACTGGGGAAATAGAAAGCATTAAACTTCAGCTTTAACAGTGTTGTGCAAAACTAAATACATACAATGTTGTGTTATGTAATGTTTTTAATACAATGCTAACAATGACTAGGAAAGCTGCAGTACTGCACTGATGCACTTATTTAATGTTATTATTTATAAAGCTATAGAGTAATGCTTATTTACAAATCTCAAAGATGGCCGTTTTTTCCTTAAAAAAATCGATCTTGACTGACTTTTTATGACTCTTCTTACTATACTCAGCCTTTTTATATGCTTTTTGTGGCCTACATAGTATGGCTTTTTTGATGATATATTAAGGAGATACAATACTAGGACTGTACATTTTACAACCAATGGCTAAGATCACAGTGTGGCCCCTCACCTGGTGGACAGAGCGCAGAGGGAGCCCACAGCCACGATGTATCTGGCGGGGGACCAGCCCACGTAGCTGAAGGCCTCGGGCAGGGGGCTCTGCCTGTTCAGCTCGTAGTACGGCATCATGAGCGTGAGAGCGGCGGACACACCGAAGTAAGCGAAGAAACAGATCAGCAGCGAGGCCACGATGCCAACAGGGATGGAGCGCATCGGGTTCTTTGCCTCTTCGCCTGAAGACAGGGGGAGATTTGAAAAAAAGAGGAAAAGATGAGGAAAGAAGCGAAGGCAATATATCGTAAGGGGAGATTTTGTGCTTTAGATGTTTTTCACATAAAGATAATAGCTCTTCAGAAATCAGAGTAGGTTTTCACATACAAGGGATTTGTCTTGGTGTATATGGTGCACACAAACAAAGTTAAAAGACAGAAAGACAAATTAACCAAAAAATTAAATAAATTATAAAAAACAATAACACTTTTATAACATTAAAATATAGCACAACATATTTGAAAGGATATATAGATATTCACAAAAAAACTACAAACAGTATACTGACAAAATGCTCAGAATAATAAAATAAAATATGTGCAGATATAAAGAGAGGTAGCTTGAATACATATGTGCAAAGTATTCGGAGGGTGATCTTGCATTATTACCGGTATGCTTTATATTTTTATATCAGTGGAATAAATTGGTCATGAAACTGCAATATTGTGTATTGCAATTACTCTGGGACTATACCTGGTCCAGAAAAATCAAAACTCACTACCATCAGTAGTTCCACTTCAGGTCTGTGTGACCATAGGGGAAGTAAGTCAACAAGTTCCCATGTTTAGAATCTGTTTATGCTAAACAAGAAATCATGGGAACAACTTTCAATACCAAGTAAGCATTTTTATATCTGTTTATGACGCCATTTTGGTGAGGCTGCTTCTCTACATGGCATTTTATGGAAATATGAAAGGCACTTACTAGTTGTTGCGATGCAGTCGAAGCCCACAAAGGCGTAGAAGCAGGTGGCGGCACCAGACAGGACTCCAGTCAGGCCGAACGGAGCAAAGCCGCCTACGCCAAACTCCTCATCAACTCTGAGTCACAGAAGAAGAGAGACACAAAGTTTAGCTATCAGAAACATGTGGAACTGTAAAAAACAAACATTCGCTGGCTGATTGAAATACTGACTTGAGAGTTTTAGTGCTGTTGGAGCTGTTTATGTAGCGGACGTAGTCTTCCTCCGTCCGGTTCCAGTTGGCCGAGTCCCCCTTCACAAAGCCGGAGATGATAACGAAGCCCAGGACCACCAGATTGACGCCCGTGAAGATCTTATTCACCAGAGCAGACTCGTTCACACCGAAGGCCAGAAGTCCTGAGGGCAGGAATAGAAGAGAGGGATGTAACAGAGACAAGGAGCTTTCACATCGCAGCACCACTAACAACATGTCCTGCTATGTGGGTGGAGGTGTGGAAGCTTCATAACGTCAAACTCACCATCAGTCAGCAACACCACCACCACACCAATGAGTTCTACTGCCATGCAACACTAGTGGCAATATTAGTGTGACCGGTCTGTTCTGGCTGTTATGTCATGTTTTTAATACAATACTAATAAAGACTAACTGCAGTAATTAAAGTGACTTCTTTATTTGAAAAGAGTCATTTTTTTCTTAATTCTCGCAGACTTGTAAGCCCAACCGAAGATCGATGTTTCTTCCTTAGGTTGATTTATTGAAAAATGGAACAGCTCTTTAAAACAATGTGACTGTCAATAAAAGAGTCATAAAAAAAGTCATACTATGCGATGACTTTTTATGACATACCGTGAATTTTTACTTTTTTTGATGGCATACTATATTATACTATGACTTTTTATATGATTTTTGTGGCCTACATAGTATCACTTTTCGGATGATATTCTTAATGGCCTAATCTATAAGACAATTATCATGCACTCTCATATTTATCCCATTCCCCCCAGAGGAGATCCAGGTTGGGAACCACTGAGAGTCAGATGAAGATGATGATGATGATGATGATGATGGGGTAACTCACCAGAGAGCAGCAGGACCAGGATGAGGGCGAACAGGTCCGGGTATTCAGCCAGCACATTTCCTGGCACCTTCATTGTCATGGAAGCTTTAAAGAAGCCAGAGATCTTTTGCTCAACCAAGCTATCGAATGTTGAGCTCCACGCCCTGGCCACACTGGCCGTACCTAAAAGAGAAGACAAAATAACTTGAATACCTCAACCACGCAGTGTCTGAAAGTGACTCATCCTTTACGTTGTTCTCTACGTTATTACAGCATACTTTTAAATGCATCAGGTTGCAGAACATTAATGTGCTGCAACAACTCCACTGAAAGAAAGCTCACCTATCACATAGGAGAGGATGAGGTTCCAGCCAGTGATGAAGGCCCAGATTTCTCCCACTGTCACGTAGCTGTAAAGGTACGCCGAGCCTGTTTTGGGGACACGGGCGCCAAACTCAGCGTAGCAAAGGCCGGCCAACATGGAGGACAGAGCGGCGATGAGGAAGCAGAGGACGATGGCGGGTCCGGCCTTTTCTCGGGCGACCTCACCAGCGAGGACGTAGACGCCAGCGCCGAGGGTGGAGCCGACCCCCAGGGCGATGAGGTCGAGGGTGGACAGGCAGCGGGCGAATCGGGTTTCCTCCCCGGAGAAGTCCAACGCCCGGCGACGCAGCAGGACTTTGCCAAAGGTGGCCAGCTTGTGGGCCATATTTGCTGTGACTGTGGGGGGGGCTGGACCGGGCTGTGTGTTTTAAATTCTTCGAGTGTGGGTGTGCGTGATTGACACACCCTAAACAGAACACGTGCGACTGGTCTGTGGGTAGAAGTACTCGAGCAGATGGGTAGGTTAACCAAGTACTTGCTTATTATTGGTCCTTGAGAATCAGAATCAGGTTTGGAACAGAACAGGGAGTGGCAGATCAGCGGTTACAGTGCTTTGCAGCAGCAGATTAGGCCCTGTAGAAAAAGATAAGAAGAAAACAAAACAAGGAACTATTCAGATATTGCCAAAGCTTATATGCACACAGCCTTGTGTTTGACACCGTGTCCTAGGATTATAGCCACATTTCTTACCAGGAAAAGATTTCAAACTACAGGCAGGGATAAGAAAGTGAAGTAAACATAAATGTTTGTCACCTTGACACGGCCGGTCCCACAGGGGCTAAACAAAACAAGTAACAATTTTGTAACAAGTTGGTTTTTGTAGGGATTAGTGAACTCAGGTAGCACCGGCGATGTTGGAGACTTTCCTAGAATATTCCACTCCTCTAATAAAAAGGAGAGGGTCTGTCAGCAGCTTTGGTGAGGCAATGAAAATAAACATTTCACTACACGGGAACCTGTATAAATACCAGTTACGCAACTTCCAGGAATTCATACCTCCACCTTTTACCGCATACTGTAGTAACACATGATGAGACACAGTAGGGCACAACGACACCTCATGAAGACAAAAGTAAACCTACTGCTATCCACTACTTAACTCGGCCTCTACAAATAAACCTGCCAAAGCACACGCACCCATATGAAAACACAAGAGCACCTAGCGTAATTCCTCACCACTCCCTCACTGCAAGAAAGGACACACTGCTACTTTTGATATGTTTTTTCAGCAGAAAGAGGCTGATAGGGAGAAGCCTGGGAAAGCCAGGGCTGTGAAGAGATGATATGGTTGAATTTTGCAAGCTAATATCAACAAGGGAGAGGAGGACAGTGTGAACCAGCAGCTCGATAAGATGAACCAGCTGCCCTGCCACAAGGTTGGTATAATAAAGACACACTCAGGGTACTGAACCGTACCCTAAAAAAAACTGCGGAGTTCAGTAACATGGTACTTGAGTAACAATTTCAATTTTACCCTTGAAATCAAATTAGTACTGTTGTGCTTTAATGACTTTATATAACAGAAAAACCTCTTATAGCCAAGTTTATTAATACCTGTCCAAGACGTAAGAAATGTTAAGTTAATAAACACCTGCTATATGATTTAAGCTTCTTGGAAAATAGTCATACTACACAAAAAATAGACTAATTGACTTAAGAAATCTTATTCGGCTAAGACCAAACCGTGGAACTGGTCGACAAATCCATCCACAAAGAGGGAGCAACTCACTTTTATTTGAACCAAACTGTGTTCAACAAGTCACTCCGGTGTGATATACCATACTGATCCTTTTTGAAACAGAGCACAATAATATTGCTGCATTATCAATCATTTAAAAAAACAAAAACATCTTCAAGGACAACGGCATCACACTCTACGTCAGGAGTAATGATTTGTTCAAGCTTAGGGACGGTTGAATGATAATGATTACATCAGATTCTGCAAAACACACCATGCACACACACAGACCCACACAAAATGCATTGCGGGTCAAGGACACTGCGTACAGCTCATCTGACCAGGAAAGATACAACGTTTTCTGTTTGTCTAAGGTGACAATAAGACTGGTTTGACGTAAATCCCCATCGACAAAACACACCCTGCAGAAGTATGTTACAGACCAGTTCCAGGAACCTACTAGTCATGAGGTTGCCACATTTCTTAATGCCATTTAAGATGTTTTGGTTTTGTAGAGGTTGTTGCATGAGATTTTTTCTCCTCAAATCCTAGTGCTTGAACAAGTTCATCCGTGTTTCTCTACGAAGATGAGATGTTTAATGAAGATTTTACACGCAGCTGCTCCTGCTGAGAGACTCAATAAACAAATGTCAACATATATTAGATGATATACTTCTCTATGTACTGTAATCCTAGAAAGCAGGACCAAAGACCCACCATGATGTCAGTTTTTGATTTCACCGTCACCAAATAAAGTGCACTTGATGACTTTTGGACTTTCAGATGTCCATGAAGAGCCACAGTTCAATGTTGTGAACAAAGCTTTACACATCAAGTGTGTGTGAATGAGTGTGTGTGTGAATGTCTGTCACTAACAATCCAACATTTGCCTTCATTAAAATGTGTCATCGCTTCAAGTTTATTTGACCAGCAGAGTTGACTTCCCATTTTCTTATTAGTATTACAGGTCATTCCATTGAGTTTTTTATTTGGTAAAAGCAAATAAAAAACACTTTCCCATACAAGTCTTGGCAAAGCCGTGTCTCTTAAGGGCCAAGTTTATCTTATCTGCAAATACTACACTTATTTTACAACTACTACAACTACCACTGACATGACTTAGCATTAACAACTTTTTCTTTAATTGCCAATGACAATTGATCAGTAAAAAACTTCCACAGTCCTGAAATGGGTACCGTCCAAAAGGATCAGCAGTGAAGCCATAAAAAGGCTGAACTCAGCTCTCAGGGATTAAAGACATACCCGATTAATCTTTTTGATTCGGAGCAATTTACAGAAGAAAAAGTAGATGCTTCATTACCCTTTGAGACATTAGAGCACCAGTACCTTGAATTCCAGTAGACTTTGAAGGTAGGAGGCGGAGCAAAGCCAACGGCAACGCTGCACCCAGTCTGAAGCTATTAATGCTGACACCTGATTCCTGGTGTTAGTGCTGAGAAGGCGCACGGACATTTCAGGCTCATCAGTCACTTCACCGGTCAGGCAGCAAAGAGGAGAAGTGAAACTCTAACCCCGCAACAAAACCAGACCGTGATGTAGCACAGTGTGAGCGTGGCTATCATGTATTAACAGTGTGAAAATAAAGATGGTGGGGCAAAGAGTGCAGAGAGATTTATACATAGTATATTTTTTTGTTGTGCTGTCGAGGTTTTCTCTGTTCTATTGTCCAATTAAAACTAATTTAAAAAGCACTGGTCCTAGCAGAACACATACTCATTGAAGAACATAACGCAACATGAGGCTAGAGCCGTTTTTCTTATTTGTTCCAACTTTATGTGGAAAATAAAATGTCCTCCCTACTCAGCTCCGGTGAAAAGAGGGAGCATAACTCAGGTGTGAGAAACGAGAATGTGTATCAGATATTTCAGGGTTTAAGAATGAATGGATAAAAATGGCAGCCAAAAAGTGTCATGAAAAATGATGCTAATAGATCAAAGATAACTCAAATATTTGATCGATCATCATAACTCAACATGCGTAGCTGTGGTCGGACAATGTCTAGGTTTTTCTAACCAGCTTGTATTTCTGAGGAATCCCAACGAAATGCAAACATGGGGCAAGCGCTACCCACAACCACACAAAGTTCTCGATTGCTGTTCTTTTGGGTCACACAGTAGATTAGATCATTTCAAAAAGGAAAAAGAATACAGTATTTCGGCTGTACATTATGTTATGGTCTAATTTTGGCCTTTTCTTTCTCATAGCACACAGGATCAAAGCTCTCACAATGTCTCAATACAATGACAGTATTCTATTATTACCATAAAAACAACATCACCTATTCATCAAAGCTCTTTTAGTCTAACCGTTTCAAAAGAGAATATCCTGCCCAGTACAGTTAACGTGAAGAAAAAATACCTACTCTGTCAAACAATGAAATACAAACAACACAGAAAGCACCCAACAATAAACACTCAGCCCTCTGAAGACTGATGGGAAACTGGTACATGGAGGATATTCTCCCACTCCCCACTTGGTGTGACATTCCAGTAGCGTTTTCTACGTTTTTTACTACACACATGTTGGGTCAATAAACATTTATTACTTGAGAACTGTGCCCAGCCGGCTGTGATCTCCTCGGGGGTTCAAACCAACACTGCACACCTTCGCTAAGCAGAAGAAAAAAAAACCTTTGATAAAACTGTGCAAACTGGAAAGTTGTATCAAGCCAACACGTTCTCACTCCCAACCCGTCACATGTTGACGGTCGGTCAGGGCCCCTCCCCGTCACTGTATTACGCACAGGGTACCCCTTGAGAGTCAGTTTTCAACGGGCAGGGCGTCCCATAGACCTCCCATAGCGTTGATAATAGACGCCATGATAATGCTCCCCGGCAAATGCTACAGTACCCCGACGGTCGGTTGTTATTGTCAATATTAATATAATAATGATTTATTTTTGTAATAGTCACACTCGATTTCGCCGATTTTCTTGTTGCCCCAGCTGGTTGACACCTCTTTTAGCAGAAACAAAGGCTACATTAATGTATTAAATCGATGTTAATCAATGTGTGTGGTTGTGGAATTAATGGACGTGCCGTTGTGCGATTGCGTTGCCAGGCAACGCAATAATTTACAAACTCTTCAACTACAACCCTAATTATATTTTAAAACATTTTAGAAGGCCTCACAAAATACTTTAATGTAAATTAAAATGTAAATGTGAAGGGATGTGTGTAATGTGGTGATTGACATTATTCACCCTATGGGATCTATGGGTTGGGGCAGGGATTCCCAACCCCCGGTCCGCGGACCGGTACCGAGGTGTTACTGCCGGGCCGCGAAATAGCTGTGAGTTTATCGTAATATTTGCAGAATTATAAATATATAAAAATATTTTATCATAATATTTTTTTCAAAAAGTGTTTAATGTTCGCACTATACCAGCCATATTATTTCATCCAGTAGCCTAGTTAATCTTTCACCAGATAACCGTTGAAAATGGCTTTTATGATGTTCCGAGGGATTCGGCGGCTCAGCCTGGTCTCAGCCTCTTGTGCGCACGAGAAAGTTACCGGTGCGCCAAGTAGGAAGAGGAGCGCACAGACAACCGTTTAATTGCAGACTGTTATGTTTATGTGGGGAAATAGCAGTGCATACATTATGTGAGATATATTTCAAACTCG